AATGGACACCGACGCCTGAACGCCTAAACCATTTTATTCTCCGATCGAAGTGTTGAACGACCCGATTTAAGGAGGGCTTGATTGTTCATAACGGTTTCAGCTCTAAAAAGGAAAGTTGAGACCAGTGCTATACATTAATATCCCTTGACTTGTGTGACTAGCCCTTATTATAAATATTTTACTCTGCAGCTTGTGAACGGCTACGATTCCGATCCGTCGATACAGAAGATTCTCGATCATATGGATTTCTACATTCTTCCTGTTATGAATCCAGATGGATATGAGTATTCACGTATGAAGGTAGGACTTCATTTAGTTGTTTCACTCCAAATACGATCCTGATCCTGGTTGCGGTCAGCAGATTACAGTCTGCGGCGGCGCGTCAAAAAACGCGGCGGTGTGATGACTCATCTTCACTGCGATCGATAGCGCACTAGTCGCATTGCTGCAAAGTGAATCTCCTGACTCACGATGTCTACCGGTTCATTATGTATATGCCTTATAACTTGCTATTCGATAATTCGCCTTCAACAGCTTTGTTCACCCCTTTTTATCGTCCATACAAACGCTCTTTGTATGACTGAGACTCAACATCAGCGTCCCTTTAGAATCGTATGTGGAGGAAAAATCGTCGTCCAGCAACTTGCAAGCGACAGCATTTCCACACTGTCTGCTGCGCAGGCGTCGATCTCAACAGGAACTTTGACTGGTTCTGGTCTTGTGAGTTTCTACTACTTTTTGGTTGGATTTCCTTACTTATCAGTTCGAAAGTATTTTCTATTTTCATTTTCGTACACCGTTGTCTACACCAAGGGTATAGCGTGGGGTAGCGGTATAGCATAGCATACATCAGCACAGAGATGAATAAGGTGAAACTCCAGTTGGAGGGGGCCACTCCATTTTTGCTCTCCAATACTCAAGGATAAGGATAAGAGGGCTCATGACACGTAATCGACTCATTTAAAGTAGACTTCTGATAATATCGGTGTAATGTGGAAGAAACTCCTGAGGTGCTTTCAGATTTCGGCCTGCTGTGTTCTA